GGAAGCAGGTGCATACACTCAAATACGTGAGCAAGAAGTTATCGCGTTCATATGGAAAAATATAATATGCCATTTCGGCATTCCCAAAGAAATCAGCTGCGACAACGGACCACAGTTTGTTGGAAATAAAACAACCGAGTTTTTCGAGAAATGGCATATCAAACGAATACTCTCCACACCCTACCATCCCGCCGGCAATGGCCAAGCCGAATCATCCAACAAAACGATTTTGAATATACTGAAAAAGAAGCTCGAGGACGCCAAAGGGCTATGGCCCGAACTACTGCCAGAAGTACTGTGGGCATATCGCACTACGCCAAAAACTAGCACAGGCGAGACGCCATATTCATTAGTCTACGGGACTGATGCAGTCATACCCGTCGAAGTCGGAGAGCCCAGCCTAAGATACTCCAATGAGAGCGGACCAAGTAACGACGAAAACAGGTTACAAGACCTGGACGAAGTCGAAGAGCGAAGATATATGGCTCACGTAAGAATGGTAGCCCAAAAGCAACAAGCAGAAAGGTACTATAACAAGAAGGCCAAAATACGACCACTCAAGGTCGGAGACAACGTTCTCAAAGCTAAAACTCAGGCAGCGAGAGACCCCAATGAAGGAAAACTAGGAACAAATTGGGACGGGCCATACAAAATCACGGCCGCAAGAAACAAGGGAGCATTCCAGTTAGAGACAATGGAAGGAAAACTACTACAAAATAATTGGAACATTGCCCACCTCAAATACTTTGACTTCTGAAAAGAGGCCCCGCCTAAGCTGTACTCTTTTTCCCTCATCCGGGTTTTGTCCCAATCGGGTTTTCTCGGTGAGGTTTTTAATGAGGCAGCAAAAGGAGACGCCTCGAGGCCCGAAGTATTGTTCATTACCCCGCCCGGTGATAGGATCTCCAGGCCAAGTAATGAAGGGACTAGGCATAGATAGCCACTGTATTCACTGTATTAGCAAAGTCGACATGTACTTTCTACGGAAATGTAATCAAAATCTCCAATGTACGAATGATCTCCAATGTACGAATGAAAATCGCAATGGCTAAGGCCATCGACGAAAAATGAGTTCGACTTCACTCGAACTGCGACGGAATCCTACTTCGACGTCAGATCGAAGGTAAGCCACTGTATTCACTGTATTAGCAAAGTCAACATGTATTTTCTACGAAAATGTAATCAAAATCTCCAATGTACGAATGATCTCCAATGTACGAATGAAAAATCGCAATGGCTAAGGCCATCGATGAAAAACGAGTTCGACTTCACTAAAACTGCGACGGGATCCTACTTCGACGTTAGATCGAAGGTAACATCCCAATGGCTAAGGCCATCGACGAAAAACGAGTTCGACTTCACTCGAACTGCGACGGGATCCTACTTCGACGTCAGATCAAAAGTAACATCCCAATGGCTAAGGCCATCGACGAAAAATGAGTTCGACTTCACTCGAACCACGACGGGATCCTACTTCGACGCCAGATCGAAGGTAACATCCCACTGGCTAAGGCAATCGATGAAAAACGAGTTCGACTTCATTCGAACCACGACGGGATCCTACTTCGATGCTAGATCGAAACTAACATCCCAATGGCTAAGGCCATCGACAAAAGTACGAGTTCGACCTCACCCAAAGCAAAATCCGCCCAAAAGTTCGACAAGTATTCGAGATACCATAAGTATTATAAAGATCACCACTAAAACGACAAAACAATTTCTTCATTTACAGCAAAAGTCACTAACACCTATCTTTACAACGGTCTCAAGCATGCCCTTACAAAAATCTTGAAACAAAAAAGTAACTACACATCATCCCCGGTTGGGTAGGCATCTTTATACCAAGAGTCGGAGGTAAGGCGGTTTGCATCATCAGAGATGACTTCATCCCCATCAGGCGTACGTGGGTCGTACCCACATGCCTCGCGAGCCGAACGAGCTTCGGCACGCATACCCTAAAGTTCCGCTTCAGACGCCCTCCCTTCAGCAAAAAGAGCCTTATACACATCGAGCCGGGCCTCAGCATAAACCCACAACTCGTATGAACGGCGAGGCACGACAGGTTTGGCCAAGGCACGGGAAGTAGAAGGTTGCTGGCGTCAATTCGCATCCTCCGCGCTCAGCGAAGACACCTGCCCGGTCAACACGGACAACTCCGCCTCCAACTCCTTAACACGACCCTCAAGCCCTGCCACTTTGAGTGCAGAAGCCTCTTCTTCTTTGGCCCGCTCTGACCTACAGGTACGGAGGGTATCTTCCAAAACCGCCACTTCAGAAATAGTGGCCGCCAGTCTGTCAGCACCCACATTCAGCTCACTCCTAAGCTCATCAATTTTCGCTAACTTCGTACTCAATTCGGCAGTCAAACCGGCCACTTTTGCATGTAAGTCGGCGTTCTCAGCCACTATGCCCCTACTTAACTCCAGCTCGTCCTCCTTCATCTTAAGAGACGCTTCGAGCTCGCTATTGTGGGCGATGGCTTTCACGAGGTCCTCGTCCCGCTCCCTCAACTCTTCGACCTTGCGCCCCAGTTGGTCTTCCCTTTGCTTAAGCCCTTCACGAAACAATTGGAAGTCTGGGTCCTGAGTATAGATGTCGGCCATCGCACGGTGCTTGGTGCGATGTTGATATTTGGAAGACATCTTCCCATAGATGGCCGCTCTCTTTCTTTCCCTGCGCTCACGCTCGGTCTCCATGATGAGAGTCTGCCATAAAGGAAGAAGTTAAAAGGAAATACAGGCAAGAAATAGCGGCAAAAACCCAAATGTTAAGAAAGAAAAGAAAACTTCACCCCCAAAGCCATGCCGGCAACGCTCCGAGATAACTCCACGTCGCTCATTGTCCTGAGCACCTCGTTTTCGGGGGCAGCACATAAAGGGGCTAAGGCAGAAGCCACCTGCTCATAGTTTGACAGCAAGTTGTAATTTCCGGGGATAACTATATGTCGGTCGCAACCCTCCGTCCTGACCTCTACATGAGTATGGCGTTCCACAATTCACGAACGTCCACCAGATCTACGTCCGAACCTGAGCCCTCGCCCTCAACACGCGGGCCCTCTCCAATGTTGGAAGATACGCCACCCTCTGCGGAGCGCACCGAGCCACCTCCTGGGAGAGCTTCTTCCGTTTGGGGAGACCTAACCGCCAAGATAGCGTCGGCCATAAAAGTAGGTACGGGTGCCGTGTGCGACGCATCCATTCGGCTTCCACTAGTGTCTACGGCCACCCCCTTTACAAGCTCTACTCTCCTCTTCTTTCGCAGTGATGACTCATCCCCATTAGAGGATTCATCCAAGAGGTGAGGGCTCGGAATAGAAGAGGCCTCTTCCCTCACGACCAAATCTCGAGAGGAACCTTCTATTTGGAGCGGTTGAGTACAACCCCCCCCCCACCCGAACGGAATGCAGGAACTGGGGCCCTCCGCCTGGAAACTCCTCGACCTGTCATCATGAAGAATCGTATCAGTAGTTAACGATGTATGACCAACAACGTGACGTAGAGGAAGATATTTACCAGATGAAACCTTGGGGCCATAACGTCTCACGAAGGAGGCCAATCTCGGGTCTCCGCTGCATGGGACAACAGACGAGCTACCCAATCCTTTATGCCAGCAATAGGGCGGGGTGGACGCCCCGTAGCTATAATCAAGAAGCAAACAAACTATAAGGAACGAAGAAGAGAAGAGAGAATAATACAAGTAGCGATACTTACGAGTCTCGTTCCACCGTTCTGGGAACCTAGCGGGATCGGAGGCAACGTGTTCAGTTTTGACAAAGAAGTATTTATGCCAAAACTTACGGCTTGCTCGGTCTTCAGTCCCCACTACCAGCCCCGTCGTTCCACGATGTCTCAAGTGCACCATGGTGCCCCTATGAAAGCTGGGTGAGAACAGGTGCAAGAGATGGTGGACCGTCACCTCACACCCCGCCATCTCTGCGTACTTTGTCAGCAGTAGAAGTACCTTAAGCGTGTATGGTGAGAGTTGTGCCGGGCAGACTTGATAGAATCTACAAAATTCCTCCGCCAGCTGAGGGAGGGGGAAAGAATAACCAATCACGAAAGGGTACTCGTAAAAGGCACAGTACCCAGGTCTATGGACTTCCACGAAGTCCATTCCCGCGGAAACCATATCTACATGGGCGGGGATACTATACTTTGCAAGGAGAGCGTCTATATGAGCTTAGTCCGTTTCAGAGATCACTGGGGGAGGAGTAGGAGGAGGATCTTTGAGGAAGTCACTCCGGGATGTGGGGTGCCTCGGCAGTAACTCCTCCACGGTAGGAAAACTGCTCCCCTCTTCCACCATCGTGTCCTCACCACCGGAGGGGAAAGCCACGAACAGCGGGTTCGCCTCAGAAACCCCTTCGTGGGATAGATGTGTTCTAGGCATTGTTGTGATAGGAAAGATATTAGAGTAGCAGAGAAAGTTGTGGGTGAAGAATGAAAGAAGAAGGAGCAGAAAAACTGTGAGAACGAAAACCGGAAAAATGAGGAAGAGTAACCGGAAGTGAAAAGGCCAACAGTTTTTGAAAAAAACAAATCCTTCACCTATTTATAGGATTGGGTAGCAGCGGAATTAATGCGAAAAGCAGCAGACTAGCACCGGAATCGAGGCAAATGACTGCAGGTTGGTACCAAAACCGAAGCGACAAGCCGTCTGCCCCAGTCTCGAAAACACGCATAATGATGATGAAAAGGCAGATGGCGTCATTTCCTGATAAGACACAGCACCGATGCTTTGCTAAGCACATTGACCCCCAACTGTTGGCCAGGACGTGACGCTCCATAAAATCAAATTTCTCCACGAAGGGCGAACGGTGTCCGCTTATCAAGGACGCGTCGAGTTGCGACCTCGACAAGCGGAGGGACTAACTGTGTGGGTCCAAATTTGGACGACCACGACCGCGACCATTGACGAACACGACCAGCGGCGAGATCCTCGCAGCTCAACATGGGTTCGATAAGGGGCGTTAGGAATATTCCTTCGAATATTCCCCGTAGTATGCTTTTTAGGATCTAGAAGGGGTTTGTCCCTTATATATAGGGGGAGAACAACTTTGTATAGGGGGCTCTCTCTTTTTTCGACTTCTCTTTAATACAAAACAATGATTGTAATATTTTTCTATCAGCATTTTCTAACGCTCAATTATTGATCCTCACAAGATCGGAAAAGATTATCCTTTGTGTTCATTGTATATCCTCTTGGTTCTAGAGATTATTATACTTAGCTAAGATTTACCCCATCATTACCCCATCATTTTCTTTGATTGATTTACTCAAAAAGGGTTGCAATATCTTTTGAGTCAAACAATTGGCAGTTAAGGACAAAAATCTATAATAATCTTTATCTTGAATCCAAATTCCTCAAACTGGATATACTGAATCGCCCACCCTGCTACTATTTTCCATGGAATCGACGATGATACCTTCAAACTCCTCATTCCAATCGGTTGTTTTAAATATTTTCTTTTGGATCTTTTCGTTTTCTTCTTCCTTGATAGTTTTATTGGTGATGTGAACAATTGGTTATCGACCCATTATCAAGATTAGCTCATGGAACAGAGGACCCTTGTTTCCTAATTGTACCATTGCTTATTTAATACAAGCCTTTTACGAAACAGGTTCTTGTATGTACTCATCCTATATATGATATATTATATTATGCTTATGGAAGATCCTTTTGAGGCGTATGCTTTTTTCCTTTGCCGGTTCAGTAAGAGTTTTGCAGGCAGCTTAGAGTTGGTCGCATCTCTTGCCTAGTAGCATTTTGTTGTAAACTAGTTTGATGAGCTTGTTAACGTTAACTTGCAGCTTTCAATTTAGTGCTATTGGACGTGCTTCCTTTATGCGGTATAGCCAAAAAATTACACGTGCATAATCTTGGCAGCTCAATAAAATTAGTGGCCTAAATTCAAAATTTTATAAGAGGCCTTATTTTTTTAAAAGTTGGAACTCACATATGTATATACACATGCCAAAAAAAGTTAATGTTGCTAATTTTTCGTCATTATTGTTTATAATATAATATTTTTAAATAATATAAAGTCATTAACTTCACCTAATAATATTATATATATATATATATATATATATATATATATATATATATATATTCAAGTAACACATGTGGTCTCAAAGGAACTAATGGCCTAAAATCAAGATATACTAAAAAATCCTTGAACTTCTTTCATAAAATTTACATAATAATGAGACACAAAAAAAATGTATATGGCTTTGATCTAGTGGTGAGAGTACAAATCATGATGTGTGAGTTAGGCACACATCATGGTATTGAACACTTTTCCTGTATAAAAATATGGTATTAGGTAAAAATGGTAAAAGATGAGCCATTATTCATCGAGTTTTGAACCTTGCGATGCTTGCCTCATGAATTTCTTAATTTAAAAATATGAGACACGAAAAAGCTTGCTTTTTGATGTATGAATCAATCAAATGTAACAAAAAGAAATATTTAATTCAGAGAATCTAAACTAAAATTAGAAAGTAAAATCACAAAAAACATAAAAAAAGATTATACACAGAGGAAGAAAAAATAAAATTAACATTGTTTAATTTAATGAGAGAAATTTTTCTTATCATATTAACTCAATCCGACCTCTATTAAATAAAATAAAAAAGTTAAAATTTGATTTTTTATTAATAAATATATATTATTATATGTTATATAATAATATAGTATTAGTTCATATTTTTGGGGCTAAGGCAAGGGCTTCACCTTCCTTGCCCTAGAACCGCCCTTGAATGCTGGCCTCTAAAATTACGATCTTGTTGGCTAAGCCTCTGTCTATTAATCAAACAAAGCAAATCCATGCTGCAATACTTGTTAACGGTCTCTTGAATCTTGAGTCCTCACTAGTTCAGCAGATAATTAACTCTACAAGCAATTATTCTTGGAATACCTCACGGTATATTCAGCTAATCCTCATCCATGTGCATAATTTAGATGTTTTCTCAGTTGCTTCCACCATCCGCTTCTTTTCTCGGCATTGTCAATTCAGGGAGGCCATTGATTTATATGGAACGTTGCAGAGATGTGGGGTTAGTCCCAACACTTTTGCTGTATCATCTGCTTTAAAGGCGTGTGCTAGGATTTTGTACAGGTCTGGTGGGATATCTATTCATGCACAAGTTTACAAGTATGGCTTCTGTAATGCTGTCTATGTTCAGACAGCTCTAGTAGATTTTTATTCAAAAGTGGGTAATATGGACTTTGCCCATAATATCTTTAGTGAGATGGTCGGGAAAAATATAGTATCATGGAATTCAATACTAGGTGGATATTTAAAATCTGGGGACTTAGCAAAGGCACAAAGGGTTTTTGATGAAATGCCTGAGAAAGATGTCATTTCTTGGAACATAATCATTTCTGGGTATGCGAGGGTGGGGAATATGGAGCAAGCATATGCTTTGTTTCGAGAGATGCCAGAGAGAAGTCCTGCCTCATGGAATGCTATGATCAGCGGATATGTAGATTGTAGGAACGTAGAATTAGCTCGCAGTTTCTTTGAGGCAATGGACCAAAAGAATAATGTTTCATATATCATATTGATTTCTGGATACTCAATGTGTGGAGACGTTGAATCTGCTGAGGAACTCTTTGGACGATTAATTAAGAAAGATCAACTTGTATATAATGCCATGATAGCTTGTTATGCTCAAAACAGCCAGGCAAAAGAGGCTCTGCAGCTATTCAATGAAATGCTTCAGTTAGATTTACAACCTGATAAAATGACCTTGGCAAGTGCACTTTCTGCTTGTTCTCAGCTGGGAGATTTGAAGTTTGGTTCTTGGATTGAGTCTTTCATGAATGAAACTGGAATTCAAATGGATGACTACTTGGTTACCAGTTTGATCGACCTGTATGCAAAATGTGGAAGTGTCGATAAAGCTTACAAGCTGTTTCACGGCTTGAAAAAGAAGGATTTGGTAGCATATACTGCAATGATACTGGGATGTGGAATAAATGGTAGGGCTGATGATGCTATCAAATTGTTTGATGAGATGATGAATGCTGAAATCAACCCAAACGTAGTCACCATCACAGGGATATTGACTGCCTACAGTCACATTGGTATGGTAGAAGAAGCATACCGTTGCTTTATCTCCTTGCAAAAGTATGGACTTTCTCCCACAGTTGATCATTACGCTATAGTAGTTGACCTTTTAAGTAGGGCAGGGCGGTTAGACGAAGCACATGGCTTGATCAACAGCATGCCAGTGCGGCCTCATGCTGGTGTCTGGGGAGCATTGCTTCTCGGTTGCAGTTTGCATAACAACTTAGAGCTTGGGGAGACTGCAGCCAGGCATTGTATGGAGTTGGAACCTGAGAGTTCGGGCTATCTTTCTCTTCTAGGAAATATCTATGCTTCCTCGGGAAGGTGGGATGATGCTGAGAGGTTGAGAAAAGGGGTTGAAGAAAAGGGATATGGCAAGCTACCTGGTTGCAGTTGGATGGAAGTAAAAGCTTAGAAGGTCTTCTTTGCAAGGACATGATTCCAACTGTAATACTTTGCTCATACTGTTAACAGTTTTCATCTTTTGCAGTATCAATTCAAGATGAATGCTTTTGTGCAGCCTCTTCATTTTGGCCCTTCTGGACTGCCTATCATATCCCACTTCATAATTTTGGCTGTTATTGGCTGGTTAAGATGTCTCTACTTCCACCATGAAATAACTTGATGGAGATGACTGTTAATTGGAGGTATGTTTCTTATTATATAGATCTTGAATTTTGCATTTTTGATGTCCAAATTAGAATAGCTCAAATTTGCTGAGAGTTCAAATAACATGAGTGTCTAGTGATACTTTTGAACCTCATAGATCCGCTTCCTTGAATTTGATAGAACTCAATGGTTTAACCTGCACTTATGTTTGATTAGGTGGCAAAAATTCATGTTCTTATCGGGAAGTTTGTCTGTCTTAGTAGTTTGGATAGTTTTCAGTGCTCTGCCATTCCCTCATACCCCTGAAAAGAGCAAAAGATGGGAGTCTTTGATTTCAAGATTTGGAGACACCTAATTCTATTTAAATAGTGAGTCATCATTGAAAGAGAGGCCATCACTGAAATCTTAACGGAAAAAGTGTCTCTGTAGGTGCCATGTTTACTACATACTATGAAAGAAGTGTCACATGGGCAAAGTTCTTTGTTGGGCCCCAATGTGGGTAAGAATTGCAGGCTAGAAATGCATTCAGTTCTTGGAAAGAAAGTGTCGTAAAACTTAAAACTAGCTGTTTGACGTGATAATACATGATATTAGCCATTACATATGCTGCACAAAGCTATAAACCATGTCTCCCGATTAGAATTTTTAGTTGCCATAATCAGCTATAATACCCGAACCCTTTTTAACAGTATTACAATACCCAAACTCGACTCACTGTTCTATATTCTGTCATAGATTGCGAGGTTCTGGACATGAGTGATTGTATTAATTGTGCTAAGATGAGTTCAATCTTCTATGGCATTAGCAGGGAAACGTAACAGTATCTCAAGAGACTCAGATATACAAGGTTTTGGCATTTGACGGAAAACAGAGTTAGGCGGGCTGGTTCCTGATGAATAAACAACACCAAAATTTTGGAATCTGAATGCACCTCCAAAGGCAAATTGTGGCTGTGGGAAAAACCTTTGTGAAGCAGGAATTCCCGAACTTATGACCTCTTTAAACTTATGACCTCAACCAAAAAAAAGTGCAGAGACCACGATTAAATGTTGATCTGATGGCCAAATGCTGGCGTATTATTGCTCTATCTTGCATCAGTATGTAAGGCAGAGTGTGCAAAGAGGTATGGAATCACAACTACAGTGAGTATCTAGCTCCGAAGTTACCATGTCAGTGTCGCAGATATTGGTACAAGTTACAACAAAGGGAGGGATGTGGAACCTCTGTGGATTAAGTGACTAAAGTTGAAATCTGATACTGGACGGATGGCTATGCGATGAGATGAATCTTGAAGTGCCTGTACTTCAACAACATATTAAAAATCTTAGATGAGCTATAAAACATTCTCCTGATCCTACCAAGTCTGGTATTAGTGGAAGAAGACCTTGGCCATTTCCTGTGGGGCCTATGTTAGCGCGATGGTGACATAGTAAATTGGTCTGCATGCATCTCGATAAATCTTCTGTCCTATTACAGGGCAGAGCAGTACAAATTCCATCATACTTTTATCTCCTGAGAGATAACGAGAGATCTGTTCACGTCATTGGATAGAAATCGTATATGCTGCACATTTTTCTTGATGATTTTTCTGTTTCTTCAAAAAACTTGAAAACACTTTTTGGTACTCATAAGAGTGAACTTCAAAGAGATAGACCAAAGGTTATACAAACCCTGCTTGCAAACAATACCTGTGAAAACTTATTGTCTAAATCTGGTTCTCGGGGATTGTCCATGTTGCATATCTACCATCAAAATCTGTTCAACAAAATCGTGTAAATTGGATGGGTGAATACAATTTTTATTCTTTTGAATTAGATCTTACTATATCCATTCGGCTTTATGCAAGCAAGAACTCACCTTCAACCAACCAAACTACCATTAATGAATTTCTGCAAAAGGTTGAGGCAGAGGGCACGGGTCTGGGTAAAAGTCAAGCGTTATAGTATATTATCGATTATTGGAAGAAACTAGTAAACCAAGTTTGACAGAATATAAAAGCAGAGGCATATCTATACGCGCACAAAGACAATTTCTTTGCAGTTTTGGAATCAACAAAATAAAAAGCATGGTAAAGCTCATTTATACAGCAAGGCAAAGTTCGCTATGTTTCAAAAAAAAGAAAAATATTACTAACAGGTAACTAACATCCAGTTTACTTGTCACTGTAGTGCTTTGCCACACTTTTTTATTTCAAATATCAACTCACTAAAATGAAATAATTGTTCTTTTCATTCTCGTTTTGTTGGCTCGTCCATTCGAACAACGCAACTTCTATTGTGTATTTTTCTTGATACCAATGTAGACGAGATAGTATTTACTTGTACCTCAGCAGCAACAAGCATCTGTATTGCATGTATTTGTGTTCACATGTTAGAGCAAGAGCATTAATAGACAACACTGTCCATGAATGCAGTCCGCTGACAAATGCCACCTGCAACATCTATATCATTCAGAAAAAGCTTGTATAAATCAAAATGCAGATTATACTAAAAGACATTAGGAAAAGAAAATGATAATGGTTGTAGTATATGTTCAGCCATTGACACTTTCACTATTCTAGAATATCATAATTTAGTTGATACTTTGTTTATGCGATAAAAGAAATGTCATCTCGGTCATCCCAAAGAAAGAAGAAAAGGACAAGATCCAACGCAATAGTTCTCTGTCACCAGTTAATCCCCAGAGGCAACTAAGGTAGAAAGCAGCGGAGATTATCAAAATGTCAGTGAAGGGATTTCTGGATACCGCTAGAACTTCTAGAGTCCAAGTAACATAATGGATAAACAGGTAAATCGCATAACATGGATGTCTATACAAGAATGTACCTGATCAGTTGATGCAGTGTGAAGTTCTTTTGCTTCATTTCCACACAATATCCCCTAAAAACTGAAGAGCTGGAACACCTCTGATCTCAACATCAACAAGGGGTGCCTGGACCAACATCAGGCTAGAGAGCTCTTGGTCATTCGGGATCATATCCATAGCACGACTTTGATCCTGTGATACTTCAACCATCAGTTTTTCCTAGCTAGAAATACGTCCAAGAGTCCAGGAAGGTGTCAATTCAGATGCATATTAAAGAAAAATAAAGTAATCTTCTGCATGGAGAAAATTCTCAGTAAGCATATCACATTAGACTGGAAGTTGCTAATTAGTAACCTTTCAGCTGTGCTGTACAGCAGAAAACTTGAATATAATTTTCAAACTAGAAAATTAACCACATAAACTAAAAGAAAAAAGAAAGCAAAAAGAAAGAGACTTGGAATTTGCAAATTATGAATTGAAAAGTATCGAGGCAAAAAGGCCTGAAGAGGAGAGAAGTCAATGCTTTAACCACGTTGGACATGATAAATGAGACAGTTTCAAAACTAAACGCAGAATAGGTATCCGGGCAACATATCAATGTATATTAATTTATATGAGTAATCAGCTGTGATGCAAGACAACTCATATGATAATAGATAGCTTGAGTTCATAATTACTAGTACATGGTGTTGCAAGTCAACCTAGAAGTTTGGGCCCAAGCTCATCTACAGTAACATGAAAAGGCAAACAGTAAACCTTGAGATGGAATAAGATGGTCAAACCTTTCTTTTCATTGCGCAGAACTTGCAATCTGAGGCTGATGGCGGAAGAATCTGGTTAACAATAAGCCTCTTTACAGGAACATCTTCCTTCTTTAAGGAAGCACACAACCTTGACGATTCACTAATTGCCATAACCTAAAGGGCATACAGTGATGCCCATGGGAGAAACAGTGAGAATCATGAGTCAACAAGCAGATCGCTTCTTTTCATGTGGCGACAAAACCAAGGTATTTTGCACTTTAAAGAGCTTACACCAAGTGTATTTCTATAACATTTTCTATTTTCAGACTTTTCATATTCCAAAAAGTTAGGTTCAGGCAATTTTTCAAAATTTTAAAAGACTTGTTGTAGTTGGCAGATAATTCAGGAGAACAGGTTTTAGTTTTCTGTGCAGCAATTTAGAGTTTAGTTTTTCTGGGCAGTACAGGAAACTGCCTGCTTTGCCTTGAAATCCTTTTGGATTCAGAAACATGTTTGAACTCTACAACATGCCATTAGATTACTCGCTACAAAATTTAATTGAGACTGATTCAAGAATTACACTGCGGCTATTTTTTATTTGAATTTTAAGCTCAACTACAACAATAACAACAAACCTAGTGAAGCCCCACAAGTAGGGTCTGGGCAGGGCAGTGTGTACGCAAACCTTACCCCTACTAGAGAGGTTGTTCTCGATAGACCCTCGGCTCAAGAAAGATAGGAAGAAACAGTTTGAAGCTCAACTATGAGATCAAATATAATAGTTGCGCGATGCAAACTTTGGAGACCAGGGTTCATATTCCAGTGGAAATAAAAAAACACTAGGTAATTTCTCCCCATTTGTATGCCTTGATGAACAAAGTTACCGTTTGATGAGAAGTAACAAGTACTCGGTGGAATGGTATAGTCAAGGTGCACTCAAGCTGGCTCGGACACCATCGTTATTAAAAAAAAGTAGTGTGACGCTTGAGAGCACTTCTATTGTTTTTCGGAGAGTCCCAAAGAAAAGGTCAGGAAACCCAGAGAAGCCACTTCAGCCGACCTGTCCAATTCCAGAAGAAGTCCTCATGCTTGTGCTACATGAGTTCACTTGTAAGTGGGTTAGCTTTTGGTAGAAATATTAACAATTTGGCTCAAAGAAAGAAGATATATAAAGCAAATTACTCGCTTATACTGTAAGATTTAGCTAGAAGGATATTAGAAAATAAAACGATGCATTGACTTATACTAACTTACATGAGAGCTATATATAACACACTAGAAATCTACAGGACAGATTCCAATCAGGCAGATTCTTAGGGAAACACGCACCACACCAGACAAATCAAATATTACTACATCATTACCGTGGGGATTGTTACTATGACAAATTCCGTTGAGGTTGTGTCACGAAAAAGCTCTCTTACTTTTATCATCCTCTCCCTTAACCGCTCTAACTTTTCTGCCTGCACACGGAAGAAATGTGACATTGACAGGAGTTATACGTATTAACTCCCCACACTACATATTCCTAACTATGTAAAGCTTACAGCATCTGGCTTGGGCGTTCCTTCCTGTCCAAAGACAGACTTTATTGCTGAAGTGGCTGAAGCTATCTTCTGTCTCAACTGAAAAGAGAGATTACAGAGTAGAATCAGATCGGTAGTACTTTAAACATGATGTTAACAGGACAGCTGGAAGAGAAAAAGAAAATTAGAGCCTTCATTCAATTGCAGAAAGATATAAGCTGTCCAAATGAGAAGCATAAATGAAAAAGTTGCCTCTAATTAGGAAGAGAAACTTTAAGCAGCAAACAATTTAAAAGCATCACCAAGGAAACAAGTAATTTTGGTCTCTCGGAAAACATTGGAAGAGAAGCTATAAGCACAATAGCAAAGGTCTTTCTGCTTCCAAGGTCTTTAATAACTTGAGCTGCTAGCATGAGATTAAGGAGCTGTGCTTCCAATATCGTTAATGCAACGTTACCATATTCTAATTGACGCACAGTATGCCATCTTGGTTTTGCTTCTGTACCTTGGTGGTAAGAGCCGAGAGGGGGAAGGGAGTTCTTTTAAGAATGGTAAAAAATATATCACCCCAGCTTTTACATACATCTATTCTGATAGAAGACTGCATTGCTCAATAATTACAAGATAAAGTAAGATATTTCCTATTTATTGTTATATTGCTCAAATACCTGCATCAACTGGGTGTGTCTTAATGATATCATCTTAAGTCTAAGAGAGAAAATTATCTCTCTATATCATCTTTTCTCATTCATGAAATTTTCTTTTCCAATTAAAAGCAGATAGGAAATTGAACAGATTTTGTACCTTCAATATCTTTCCAATTGATTTATCTAAGAAATCTGGCAAGGACAAGAGCCGCAGAGTATGTCCCTGAGAGGAACCAATAACTATTATGAACGTCTTCCCAAAATATTGTTACAGGATATATTATGTCGTTCTCACCGTCGGGGCTGTGTCAAACACTATACGAGTAAACATATTGTATTCCTGTGATTCAAGGAATTGGATAACCTGGCAAGAAGATCTGTAATCAGTGAGGTTGCAGGAAAATATTAACACTTAACACAGAAATATGAACAACCACTGAAAGTATAGAATGTTGTGGCACCTTTGAAATTGCAATGGCTTCGTCTAGACCAGGAGGGGGCGTATCCAGCAGTTCTCCAAGCTTTAACTCCCCAAGCTTGCTCGTATTAGATCAAGAATAGGAATAGATTAGTAGTGAAACAAGTGAAATTAACTCCATCTTTAGTAAATAAAATCGAAGGTCAAAACTAAAACATGCAAGTACGGAAGCAGAGGGAATCAAACAGAAAGAAAAGGACTTCAATTTTATTACTCCTTGTAAGTGCAAGTTAAGCTTTATGTGGCTAGCTAAAAGACTTATTTTCCAATTTCTGTCACTCTTATTAAAGAAGAGAACTCACAAATATTTGTTTTAATTTAGGGGAATTTTTTTACCTGTTCAGCAAACACCCCGAGGCCCATGCCATCCATAAAGTCTTTGATACCAGATCCTTCACTTGTCTGGGTTGCACTTCGAAACTCTTCCTTTGCCTTTTCAGGATTTAACTGACATATTGACAATAATGTTCTAAATGAGCCTCAAACATGACACTATTTAATTCAGTACCGCACCCCCAGCCACACCCACCCCTGGCCTCCAGCGAGGAGAATACAGCAATACTGGATTACTAATTCAAGCTTGGATATCACCAAAAACAAGTAGGAAGAGGCTTTTCACAACCTCAAGGGCGAATAATGGAGAATAGGGTCCTTCAACTGGAACTAGAGTGCCGCCAGTCAAATCCTACAGACAGAACATGCAGACTGAATGAATCTTGTCAACTGGAAACCAAAAAGAAAGTCCAAAAACAAAAACGAAAAAGATCAATTCAGAAATATGCTGAAATTCAATTAAAAACACTATGTTGTACCTGAGCAAAAGAATCACTCAAGGAATGTGCTGGATCAGTTGAAACTACTAAAGTGGGATGACCACTATTTGCAAATTTTACAGCAAGTGAAGCAGCACAACTTGTCTTCCCAACTCCTCCTTTACCGCCTAGCATGTAATACTTACGCTGGGTCCCAGAAACCATTTCATCAAATCCAGCAGTGGCTTCTGCAGGAGCAGCTACTGCTCTCACTGCCATTAAGCACAAGGATTTAGCAACACTAACGAGGCCATAACAATGGTCATGGATCATGGTGGAAGTGAATCACTCTTGAGTTACAGCTTTCTAATTGAGTTCTAGTCTACTAGTTCTAGATGAGTACGCGAGGAAAATATGCCTCCTCAATATTCTTATTACTCAGGACTGCCTTCACTGATCGTATTTCTTCATTCTTATTCCTTCAAGCATTCAACTAAATTAAGTGATCTACATCATTTTAAGCTTGTAGCTTATATCACTGTCATAGGCTGCAAATTAGCTTAGTTTTCTCTGGCCTCCAGATATACTACTAAATTCGATGATTATAAAGATACAGATAAGATTTTCAATAAGTGATTGGTCGTAAATGATGAGGAATGTAGTACAGTTACCTATAGCCATATATGCTAATTATATAGCCTGCAACTTCACACCTTTTTTTCCCAATATATACCAAAGAAAAAGTAAGAATAAATGTGTTTCTCTGCCTGCACATTAGTCACACAGCAACTTCTAGGCACTAATATAAGCAAGGGACAGTAACAAGTCTCTAATGAACCAAAGACAATATGGAAGCTTTTTCTTTTTCCTCTTCCCCTTCATCATATGCACATTGTTAGAATGTTACCTCTAAGATTATTCGTAATAGCACGGGATGTTACACCAAAGCCTATAAAATTTTCAGCATTCTACCCAAAAATTTTACAGATTAGACAAGCTAAGTTTACTGTAGAAGAGATGTACCAACCGTGGAGATAATTTCTAATCAACAGAAACAACATGGGCATCAGAGCTATTAAGGATATCTGACATTCCCATTTTAAGGGCAACTGATGGTTACCAGACATTCTCCAACCATTTTAATCTTCTACATTTCTCATATCAACAATATTTTCAAATGAGAAATTTGTAGTAGCTAAATTTTAAAGTTTTGAATAGCTGGAGCCTACTACTCCGACAGTCGTTATCCATTTGTTAGACATCAGTTGTACTATTTTTTAAGCCTGAACTGGGAATTGGAATCATTTAAAACGGAAAAGAAAAATGTTATCATTCAATTTAGGACACCCTATCAAATTCTATGTTAGCAAATAGAATACTAACTCTAACTCTAATAGCATACTTTCAGGTGCTCTTTTTTTATGCTTTAAATAAATAATACCATATATTCCTGTACCTGGCTCAATTATAGCAAAGCAGACGGTTAAATCCCCATTTTTTTGAAACACAAAAAGATCTAAGTAAAAATGGAAAGAAACGAGCTAACAGTTAGAAAAAGGCTAGTAATTGACAGGCAGAGTTAAGAATACAACAACAAAAGCAGAAATTTTACAGATAATCTTCTGTCTTTTAACACACAGAACGTAACAGCATCAAGAAATTCACCTTGCAAAGATTTCATGGGCTGTTTCTTTAAAGAGATGAAAGTAGTCGAACTGAAGCTTGGTCTGAATTTGAAGAGAGAACGTGGGTGTCCAAAAGAACTCAAAGAATGGGCATAACTCACAACTTCCATTGGCTTTGTTGAAGATGAAATTGAAAACATGACTGCCGTGCACTATCTTCTCTTCGTTTCTGAAGCAATAGAGTGCCTTCTTTATGAGCATTTACTCTTTTTTCCCCTTCCAGAAAAAAGGACGACCAAGGGTCCGTTTGTTTTTTTTACTGTCTCTAATAAATCTGAATACTCAATAATCAAAATGATTTTTTTATCCGTCAAAATATATTAGTTTCTCGACACGTGTATATGGAGTCGCATAGTATGTGATTTTATAAAATAATATCAATATTTTTAAAACAAAATTTCGAGTAAATAATTATACATAAAAGAATAAAGTGCAAGTTTTAGTGAATAATCAATGTAGATAGCATGTGATCCATTTGTTGATGTTAAGATAATACGATATCCTCTAAACTTACAAAGATGAACTATTATAGTTTAATTCGAAACTTATAATTTCTTGCTTATTTTGATTTTATGAGGTATAAATATGTAATGAAGTGTATCTCATCTAATAGTCCTTCCTCTCATAAACGATACTTTCTAGGGTATGTTCCTTTTATTAGTTCTTGTTACTCTATCATGACCTCTTGTTGTGGATATTGGGTCCCTCTAGAAAGTGCAACAAAAAGTTAGCCATATGATAAAACATGTTGTGGTTGTCACGATCCAAAACTCTACCCTGTCGTGATGGCGCCTATCGTGGTACTAAGCAAGCCGACACCTTTCAAAAGCACTTCGGTATTTCGTTAAAAGATAAGTCAAAGCTTTTTCATAACAAAGATTTCATAAAAGAGTTAAACTCAAGATAGAATACGGAAAAGATATGCCCGACATCGGGATGTCACTAAGTCATGAGCGTCTACAACCAGTCTAGAATTCAAAGTTTACAATAGTCTGCTAAGTGCCAAAAATAGAAAGAAAGATAACAAAGGATGGAGGGACAAAGACTGCGGACGTCGGCAGCTACCTCGTATATCTCCAATAGACAACCATGCACGAACTCAATGACCTCCGCAATCGGTGTCACCTAAATCTGCACACAAGGTGCAGAGAGTAACGTGTGTACTTCCAATAAAGAATAGGCATGCTTTCAAATCTAGCAGTTTAAGTCAAATCAGTTCGTGCTCAAGTAAACTAGATATCAAGTCTTCTAGAGAGTTGCACAACAAGGACAAATAACAACTAAGTGCAGCAATAATTGAAAGCAAGTACAGTCTCTCAAGACAACAGTCACTCGACTCATCTCGACAGCTCAATCGCTCGGCTCTCAGCCCTCAGTACTCACACTCAATAGGTACTTGTGCTAACTGGGGGTGTGCAGACTCTGGAAGGGCTCCTTCAGCCCAAGTGCTATAATCCGCACGGGCAACTCACGTGCTGCACGGACAATTCACGTGCTGCACGGACAACTCACGTGCTATAATATCAATACAAGACCCGCACGGACAACTCACGTTCAATAAGATCAAATCAAGATCCGCACGGACAACTTACGTGCTGCATGGACAACTCATGTGCCATAATATCATCTCACCACTTGGCCCTAGGCCTCACTCAGTCATCAACCTCCCTAGTCTCTCAGGCTCCAAAAAATCATATAAAACAACCCAAATAGAGATAATAACATGTATCAACAATGAACAGTAAGAAACGGAGACATAATAAGCAAGAAAAGCTATGACTGAGTACAAAACATCAATTTAATTCAGCAAGTACACGACCTCTACGGGTCCCAATAGTGATATCATAGGGCCTGAAACATGATTTTCTAACATGAAGTACAATCAATTTCCATGAAACAGAGGGGACATGTAGCAAACTATAAACTATTCGATTCAATAGTGTCACGGGACGGACCAAGTCATAATTCCTTTTGGTGCACGCCCACACGCCCGTCACCTAGCATGTGCGTTACCTCCAAAATAGTTACACGACAAAAAATCTGGATTTCATACCCTCAAGACTAGATTTATAACTGTTACTTACCTCAATCGGAGCGAATCTCCACTCCAAAATGCCCTTGCCTTGCGAGTCGACCTCCGAACGTCCCGAATCTAGCCACAAGTAATACAATACAATCAATAGAGGCTAAAGGGATCAATTTCACAAGAAAACTACCAAAATAGAGTCAAAATCCGAAATCGACTCAAAACCGGCCCCCAGGCCCACATCTTGAAATCCGACAAAAGACACAAAATCCGAAATCCCATTCACTCACGACTCTAACCATACTAAATTCATCAAAATCCGACATCATTTTTCCCTCCAAATCCCCAAAACTCACTCTCCAATTCTCTAGCCCTAATCTCCCAAATTTCACCTCAAAAACTCACCAACTAAGTGTTAAATCAGTGGGTAAACACCATTATTGGAGATAAATAGGCATAAGAGAATTACCTCAGTGATTGCTTCAAAATCCGAGCTAAAAATGATGAAAATGGTAAAAAATCCCGAAGTGTTCTATTTATACCTTCTGGCCAGCAAAACTGCACCTGTGGTCTCTTTGTCGCTTCTGCGACGCCGCTTCTGCGGAAGCCACTTAAAACACTGGGCTCACATCTGCGCTCCAGGTCTCGTACCTGCGGAGTCGCTTCTGCGGCCATTCGTCTGCTTCTGCGGAATTGACCAATTCATCCATCTCCGCATCTGATGGCCTGCAGATGCGCACCATCTCCCGCACCTGCAGTTTCCCCAAGCCAGCACAAACTCCGCATCTGCGCCTCCTCACCGCACCCGCGACAACATCCTCGCAGGTGCGATTACACCAGCACCAGGCCAACTTCAGCAATCCTTCAAACCTCAAACTTATTCCATTAATCCCCCGAAATCAACCCGAGGCCTTCGACACCTCAACCAAACATACCAACATGTCCCATAACATCATACGAACTTAGTCAAATCTTCAAATCACCTCGAACAACATCAAAAACACGAATTACACACGGATTCAAGCCTAAGAAACTTCTAAACTTCCAAATTCCACAAACGACTTCAAAACCTATCAAATCATGTCCGATTAACCTCAAATTTTACAGAACAAGTCAAAAATGACACCACGAACCTACTCCAACTTCTGAAAATCCAATCTGACCCCGATATCAAAATTTCCACTACAAAATCGCCAAAATTCTAACGTTTGCCAATTCAAGCCTAATTCTACCACGGACCTCCAAATCGCATTTCGGATGCGCTAATAAGTCCAAAATCACCTAATGGAACTAGCAAAATTCAAATTCGAGGTCGTTTAAGTCAACTTCCTATCAACTTTTCCAACTTAAGTTTCCAAATAAGAGACTATGTGTCTCAATTCACTCCGAAACCACTCCGGATCTGAACCAACTAACCTGGTAAGTCACAACACAGCTGTAGAACACAAAAGAGGCAGAAAATGGGGAAACGGGGCTACAACTCTCGAAAGGACTGGCCAAGTCATTACATCATCTCTCTCTTAAACAAACGTTCGTCCTCGAACGAATCCAGAAAAATACCTGGAGCCATAAATAGGTGTGGGTATCTGCTTCGCATCTCCCGCTCGATCTCCCAAGTAACCTCCTCCACGGGCTGACCTCTCCACTACACTTCTACTGAAGCTATGTCCTTTGATCTCAACTTTCGGACCCACCATTCCAAAATAGCCACCGACTCTACATCATAAGCCAAATCACCGCCCAACTGAATCGTGCTGAAATCCAAAACATGAGACGCATCGCCGATATACTTTCGAAGCATAAAACATGAAATACTTGATACACACTCGATAAGCTAGGTGGCAAAGCAAGTTCATAGGCCACCTCTCCAATCATCCGAAGCACCTCAAACAGCCCAATGAACTGAGGGCTCAACTTGCCCTTCTTCCCAAATCTCATAACACCCTTTATGGGTGAAACCTTCAGCAAGACCTTCTCTCCAACCATGTAAGACACATCACAGACCTTTCTGTTAGCATAACTCTTTTGTCTCGACTGCACCATGCGAAGCCGCTCCTGAATCAATTTCACCTTGTCCAATGCATCCTGAACCAAGTCTATACCTAAAAGCCTAGCCTCACCCAGCTCAAACCAACCCATTGGAGATCTACACCGCCTCCCATATAAAGCCTTATACGGAGCCATCTTAATACTCTACCGATAACTATTATTGGAAGCAAACTCCACGAGTGGCATGAACTGGTCCCACGAACCCCCAAAATCAATGACGCAATCGCATAGCATGTCCTCCAATATCTGAATAGTGGGCTTGAACTATGCGTCTATCTGAGGGTGAAATGCTGTGCTCAACTTAACCTGAGTACCTAACTGTCATTGCACGGCCCTCCAAACTGCGATGTAAACTACATGCCCCTGTCTGAAATGATAGAAACTGGCACCCCATGAAGGCGAACAATCTCTCTATTGTAAATCTCAGCTAACCGCTCTGAAGAATGGGTATTACTCACAGGAATGAAGTGCGCAGACTTGGTCAGCCGATCAACAATCACCCAAATAACATTGAACTTCCTCGAAGTCCGTGGGAGCCCAACTACAAAATCTATGGTGATCCGCTCCCACTTCCACTCTGGAATCTCTATCTTTTGAAGCAAGCCACCCACTCTCTGATTCTAATATTTCACCTACTAACAGTTTAGACACCGATCTACAAACCCAACTATATCTTTCTTCATTTTCCTCCACCGATAGTGCTGTCTCAAATCCTGATACATATTCGCGGCACCCCGATGGATGGAATACCGCGAATTGCAGGCCTCCTCTAGAATCAACTCTCGTAGACCATCCACATTGGGCACACATATCCGGCCCTACATCCTCACTACCCCATCATCACCAATAGTCACATCTCTAGCTTCACCGTGATGAACCTTGTCCTTGAGGACAAGCAAATGAGGATCATCATACTGGCGCTCTCTGATGCGATCGAATAAGGACTACCGAGAAATCACACAAGCTAGGACCCGACTGGGCTCCAAAATATCCAATCTCACGAATCGATTGGCCAAGGCCTGAACATCAACTGCAAGGGGTCTCTAACCAACAGGAAGGAATGCAAGACTACCCATACTCACTACCTTTCTACTCAAGGCATCGGCCACCATATTGGCCTTTCCCGTATGGTACAAAATGGTAATATCATAGTCCTTTAGCAGCTCC